ATTTTGCCAGTCTTCTTTGCCAAACCAAGCAACGGCAAAAAAAAAAGAAACGAGAACGGAAAAGAGGCCACGTTGTTCTCTTTTTTTTGTAGCCTCAAATAAAACTGGGCACAACCAAAAACTCCGATTGCTGGCCAAGATCACCATGGCGCGATGAGATTTTTTTAAAGCACCGATGAACCGGAGAGGGGTGGCGGTGTGGTGTGGTGGGGAAAGGGGCCTTCATCCAGCAGTCGAAGCATGTAGGTGGCTGAGATACAAAGCCTGAATTCTAAGCATGATTTGGTCCTGCAAACTGCTGAGCCATGAACATCGCAGTGGACAAAAGGCCTGTCGTGTAACAATTTGTGGAGGCCTTGAATCCTGCAGTGATAAAAACAATGGCTAATGATGATGATGATGAGAAACTGATGTCAAACTTCACACTTTACTTCCATATTTAAAAAAAACGCAAAACAAAAACCACAAATGCCCTGTACAGTAAAACAATGTCGAAGGCCACAGTAGCGTTACCAACTACATAAAAGCACGAAGTTGCCAAACAAAACCCAATTCATTAGATGTCTCTAAGAAATCCCCTAAACATATCAATACACATTTGAACAAGTATCATGATTTTTTTCAACGCTCTATAATCGCTTCAAAATATGAATAATGTCCTCGTCGCAGAAAGTCGCTTTGATTACAAAAAAAGTTCACTCGAGGAACCCAAAGTCACCAAATCTAGCAAACAACAACAAGATGACAACTCTGCTCACAAAAGCCACGAATGCTGTCAAACAATCTCTACGATAGGGGGGATTGGGTTCTTCCCTGATACTCGTCGAGTCAAACGTGGCCCACCGCAATTTGGATTTTTGTCAGGCCGATGTGACCCAGCTGTAACCCCCAGCCGGCTCACATTGCTCAGGTATCCAGGGGGACCCAGCAAAGTCAGCAAGCAACTCACAACGCTTCGCACATTTTATTTGTGCGATTGACGGCGGCTGCCGCTGGAAATCCACGCGCGCGCATGTGCGGAGAGAGGAGATAGAGAGAGCATCGACGTACAGATGGAGGTGGGATCTTTATTAAAAAAAAATTTGGTGCCAATAAAAACGGGACCCCTCGCGGTCCCCCTTCAATGGGAGATGAGATTTGAGATGCTCTCCCGCCTTTCCCAAGAAATGTCTGCCAGATAAATCAGGGTCGCTCACGTTGATCAGTCGCCAGCCAAGGCAGCTCTAGCAGCCAGATTTGCTGTATCAAGTGAGGCGAATCAGCAAATCTGGCTGTGACGGTCCCACCTGATGACGGAGACTTGTGTTGCCTCCGAAACGTCGTGATTTTTATTATTTTATTTTATTAATTTTAATTTAATGTTTTACCTACGTGACTTTACCGAAAAAACTAAGAGTATGAATCATTGCAGTCACGAAAGCTTCAAATCTAGAATCAGCTCTAGCAGCTGCGAAGTTTCGTGCCACCGTCCGAAACAATGGCAGGCGAAATCTGAACTTTGGATTTTCATGGAACGTCCCCACGGGGGAGGGGGGGGGGCTGCATTGCAAAGGTGTTGTGTTCTGTGGCTCTGCTTCGAACAATAGCTTTAAACAAATAAAACCCTCACCCCGATGGGATGGGGTTGAGTTCGGAAGTGGTGTTAAGCACTTCACGAGGGCCCTTGGAAGCTGAGCTTGCGTTTTTTTTTTTCGCAAAAGGGCAACGGCAAAATGTGAAGATGCAGCTGCCTCCTCTGCAATTACTTGCACAGCGAGCAAGAGGGCAGTGCAGCAAAAGCAATCGTCCTCCTGTACGTCGTATATTGGATTTCTTTCGCACCGTACGTCGCCAAACGCGTGGCCAACCCCCGCATTCACAACCCACACACCCTGATGAAGTATGGTACAACTCCCTCCCAGCCCGGCATGTGGAGGTAAGATCCTCATTCATCAGTGGATTAACAAAAGTGCTGTACATGTTACAGGGTGGTGGTGGTCCAGATGTCACGTGACCCCCATTTCATTCTCTAAAATTAAAAAAATTGAAACGTTTATTTAGAATCAGAAATGAATATGCAAAGGGACAATTATTGGGGGGGGTCAAATCCTTGAGGGAGATCATAAGACATCTGGACCACCCTGCATGTGCAGTAATCCACAACATCTTTCTGCCAATGTCTCTCTCTCTGCTAGGAAGGGCTTTTTGTGTTTTAGTTCGTTGGCCTTTCCCCCACACCTCCCGATTAGTGCGGTTGACTACGTAGGGTGCGAAAGAAGTTCAACATACTGGAACATAGTAGCCTTATGTAATACGCACCCCCACCTCCCCCCCATTATGTTAAAGTTGTGAGGCGTGCGTCTTATAATCCGGTAGGCGTTGGTACAACTTTTTTACTCGATATCAACCGCAAGCGTTGGTGTTACACGTCTCTTACTTTCTGGAGCGTCTTATAATCCAGTGTACACAAATTGTTGTTTTGTAATCTCGTTGTTGGAGTGGCGATGATGGTGGGTTGTTTCTTGAAAAGCCACCATCAACTTATAACGGCGAGACCCAATAACTTTTTTTTAAAGTTCAAAATTTGCCGTCACTCGAAACTGATGTTTGTGCAACGTGGATTTCTTTTTTTTGTGTTACAATAAAATAAATAACAGAACACGTGCGTCCCGAGCACGTGCAGAGAGCGAGCAAACCGCACTTACATAAGCACCGCTACTGTACTCGGAATTCCTGGTTACATAATCTCATCCATGTGACCGCATGATGGCTTGCGCTGTACGGAGAGCATCGTGTGTAGTTTATACAGAGCCCACACGCCCCCTTATGATGACACATGTACTCACACAGTCGCGCGGGACATGCCATATACACGCATATGCCATGTGTGGGTGTAGATACACAAAGACAAAGATCACCCGTACAGCCTTAACACGCTGTTGGGGCAAGTGCTGTTAGCTAGCCCCCTATGAAGGTCGACACGGGCACACCACGCTCGGCCGCCTTTGTCTTCCCGATGAGTTGCAAGGTAACTCATTTGAGGCTGAGTCAACCTAGGGGAGGCACAGGACCCGCCTGCAAGTTGCGGGGGTGGGTTGTTGGCCATGAGCGGGATTAGAATTCGTGTCGCCGGGTTTGGAGCGCCACCGCTCCCCACGGCACCAGCACACACAAAGACAAAGATCCCCGTATAGCCTGAACAGACTGTTGGGGCAAGTGCTGCTAGCGAGCACCTATGAAGGCCGGCACTGTGGCACACGAGGGGGTGGGTGGCCAACACCACGCCCGACCGCCTTTGTCTCCCCAGTGGCGATGTTTACACACCGCACCAGGTACTCATTTGAGGCTGAGTCAACCTAGGGGAGGCCCAGGACCGGTTCAGATAATCGTGAGCAGGAATCGAACTGCGTGCTAACAGCTCTAGTGGATAATCACACAGCGCTGGTATACACTTCAGTCTGCACGTGAAACCACGCAGACTGTTGTACAGCATTCAATTGATTCATATGGGATGCGCATTAAATTATATTGAGTGTGTGTGGGTTCAGACACACTCACGTACATACAACACGTGTGTGCCCTGCATGGGTTTACACACAAACCCGTCCACACTCAAACGGGTTGTACGTGTCCATGTCCTGCAGGTCCTGTATGTGTACAAAGACAAAGATCCCCCGTGTAGCCTTAACAGAATGTTGGGGCAAGTGCTGCTAGCGAGTAGCAAGCACCGATACAAGCCGCCACGGCACACGAGGGGGTGGGTGGCCAGCACCACGCCCGGCCGCCTTTGTCTCCCTAGCAGCGAAGTTTACACACCGCATTTGAAGCTGAGTCGTCCTAGATGTGTATATACACACACACACCTTCATGTACAGACTGTATTCACATAGGCTATACTGTGTATACATATTCAAAACGTGTAGTGTGTGTATATGCACAGCCCATTTGACAATGCACGTATGTGTGGTTAACGTACACACAATGTGTGCACTAAACAGACACGTGCTCGTATACACACATCCATCCTACTATGGAGTGGACAGCAAGCGTCATCCAGCAGCAGGATTTACCAAGGCTGCCGTGCGAATGGATTTACACACTCACATTTCGCGGTCGTTATGTAAAACGCACGTACGCGCACACACGTACCCGTATACTCTACACACTTACAGGGGGCTGTAGCAATATGCGCATTCATGTTGTGTGTGTCATGTACGGAACCAGCGGCGTCAATACCCACGATCAGAGTTCGATTCGCGGTCGCGGCGAACCCAACACCGAACTAAAGCGGCGGCGTGGCGAGGTTTTTGGTCAACCCTCATCATCGTGGCATGGCTATGTGTGTATGTGTGTGTATTTGTGTATATGTGTATGTGTGGCTGTGTGTGTATGTGTGTGTATGTATGTGTGTATGTATGTGTGCGCGTGTGTATGCGTGTGTGTTTGTGTGTATGTGTGTGTATGTATGTGTGTATGTATGTGTTTGTGTGTGTATGTATGTGTGTGTATGTGTGTATGTGTATGTATGTGTGTGTATGTATGTATGTGCGTGTGTATGTATGTGTATGTATGTGTGTATGTGTGTGCGTGTGTGCGTGCGTGTTTTTGTGTATGTATATGTGTGTGTATGTGTGTGAATGTGTGTATGTGTGTGTGTATGTATGTGTGTGCGTGTGTATGTAGATGTGTGTGTATGTGTGTGTATGTGTGTGGAAGGTCTTCGTCCATCCAGCAGTGGATCGACATAAGGCCGAATTGTGCGCACGGCACGCGGGGGGTTGTCACGCAAGCCCTGTTTTTAATGAACGGGCACGGGGTCATTTGCCAATCCACTGCTGGATGAGATCGTCCCCGCGGCGCTTTGCGGGGGTCGTGTGGCGGCTCGGAAAGACGGCCAATATACGAGTTCGATATTCTCAGAATTGTAACTCGCGTACACCCACGGTATTGTTTGTGTAGGCGTAAAATGTGTTGGTGCATTGTGGTATATATATATGTTAAACACTCCAGTTGTACACACATCGTACGTAGTTGTCTTACAAACGTGTAGCCTTGACAACAGGCTGTTGGGAAAAGTGCTTTTGGCGAGCACACATGAAGGCCGACGACAAGGCACACGAGAGGTCGGTGTGAAACAGAACCGGGCCGCCTTTGTCTCTCCAGGGCGGATGTATATATACACTGCACCAGGTACTCGTTAACGGCTGAGTCGACCTAGGGGGGACCCAGAAAGGGTTTGGATATCACTCGCCACTCGCGATCGCTGTGGCCCCGAATTGAATTCGGATCGCGTGCTCATCACTGCAACAATTGTCCCTATATATACAGGCACACACCTACTGAACATCTGTGATTCATCCAATATAAATATTCAGATTCTATACCAGTGGTCGGCAACCTACGGCTCCGGAGCCGCATGCGGCTCTTTACGGGCTGCTTCTTGACGATGAGTACGTATGTACTCAGATGCATTGCGGCTCTTGAAATACTGACTTTTGTACCTGAATTGGAAAGAAATGGCTCTTCTTGTTATTTTGGTTGCCGACCCCTGTTCTATACAGTACACATACACAGTGCAATGTATCAATATCCAGGCTCAAGCTTGCTTAGCTTTTGATTTGGCAGATTCTGGGTCATTTTTATTTTCTGACGAAAATTAGCCAGGTCAATGTAACGTGTCGTATATATGTGTACATTGAGTGCATATAGTGGAACATATTGGGTATAACAATTAAGTGGAATGGTTTTTACCCAGCCAAAAAAACCCTTTAACAAATATTCTTTAATTGTTTTACTTGTATATTAATTACACTGAACTGGACATTTTTAAGATGCGGTCTATTGCATGGGCACACGGTGTGTGTATATTTCCTGGGAATACCTGGCATTGTAAACCTTGGAAGGTGAGGTGGCCAGGTGATGACAGTACGTCAATGGATTCTTAAATACATCTGTGTGGAGCTTTGCGTATTTCCCCGTCGCGATTTATCCGAGCAGCCCGATTCTCCCCCTTACACCGTTCATCAATGGAACTCGCGAAACAACGCAGGAGCCGCCTTAAAAAAACGAGAGTCTTCTTGAATAAAGGGTATTATTTTTCTTATTGTCGTGACCTCCTGCACGTGCGTAATACCATGGCACGATCAGCAACATCCACTCAACGGTGGGCACCACGTTTTGACCAACTCCCTGTGAACAAAAAAAATAAGAATCTAAGAGCGCAGCTGGAGGGAGTTGGAAATTCAAACCATCAGCTCAAGGCAAAAACGGGCTCAGTCAGGGGCAGAGTGGGTGCCAAACTTCAGGCCGACCCGGGGCCGTCTAAACGCGCGCACAAAAGTACGCACTGTGCCCCGCCAACACGCTCGACGCTGTTCTGCACCAACGCACGGCCAAGCTCTCCGCGCGCCCTTGGCCTCTCTTCCTGCTGCCCCACGTGCACCGGTGGAAGCCAAAGATCCCCCATGTAGCCTGGAGAGACTGTTGGGGCAAGTGCTGTTAGCGAGTAGCACCTGTGAAGGGCCGGCATGGCACGGCACACGAGGGGGTGGGTGGGCAGCCCCACGCCCGACCGCCTTTGTCTCTTCAGTGGTGATGTTTACACAGCCACACCAGGTACTAATTTGAGGCTGAGTCGACCTAGGGGAGGCCCAGGCCCAGTTCGGATAATCGCCACGTGAGTAGGAATCAAACTGCAGTTACCGGGTTCATAGCGCAGTGCAGTAACCGCTACACTACCGCGGTGTGGGCAAAAACGCCCCTCTCTCGTGCGATGTGTTTTCGGGGTCGCACTGCGCGTGTCGTTCGGCACGTCGTCCGACGTTTCATAGCCACGTGGTGGGGGAGCTTCTTCAAGTAGCCGAATTCAATATTCCCCCGTGCGTTTGTAGATACTTCGGGGAACTGAAGGCATATGGTCTCAGCGCAAGAGATGAATTCGTTCGCTCAAGAAGCTTCCGAGCACTTCTAGCGAAACACGTGGGACGTCGTGCCGAATGACACGCCGTAAAATAAAGACCCGTATTTGTAAAGAGAATTATCCAAAGAGCATTGCCTGCCATTGACCCTTTCCCTTTCCGATGACGTACTTGTATGTAAATGTACGTCATCAGTTTTTCTTCCGATTCCGTTCCAAAGACGAATACTTAAAACAAAAAATGACTTTTAGTGATACGTCTTCCGACCTGAAGACTCCCACAAGGCCATGCCGGAGAGCGTGTGGCACATTTTGGCGTCGTCGATCACAGAGTACGGTCGTGTCGCTCCAGTTCTCTGCCGTGAGTACAATGCCTTTAAAAACAACAGCGCTACGCCTCTCTACATAAAATTTACTCCAAACCACTTGCTCGCTCGAGATTCGGCGGTGAACGGGACACCCACCGTGCCACTTGCAGACGTCTTGGAGCGGGAAAGGGTTTTAAGTGGATGTTACAGACCCTGTGACGTGTTCAAACGTGTAGGATGTTACGTAAGAGTGATGCCCTGTATTTTTACCTTGTGTTGTTGTTCCGCACGATGTCCGACATTTGACCCCCAGGTGCTGCTGGAAGCCTCTCCAGGAAGTGAATTACAACTCCTCCGTGTTGAGAGGATGTACGGCTGGAGCTCCTACAGCACGTGGATCAAAACGTCGGACAATATCCCGAACGCGCGGGAAAACCAAAAAACAATCATCCTCATAACCGAGAGGGTTCAATTACGTGGAGATTAAGAAAGATTATCTATCTCTAGTGCTTAAGATTTCCGCAATTATCATTTACAGCTCTCTGTGTATTTGGATTGTAGCAAGTGATGTTCGGCACGATGTCCGACGTTTCACTCCATGTGCTGGCATCTTATTCAGGAACAGAATTCAGTTCACGTACACGTCGTTCCTAAAACAAACAAAATAATAATAATGCATCCCCGAAGAAACTCAAGAAAACCAAATTCAGCTCCTGAAGAAACTCCCAGAACGGGCAGCGGCAACGTCAAGTCACCACGCGGACGATCGATGCTCGGCTTAACCCCAAACATCGTTGCGTCGGGGAAGCTAAGAGCAGCACAGCCGTGAAAATCTACACATTCCCGTCGGCCCCCCCTCCACCCGGGGAACCCTCGCAACGCTCCCCCCCTTGGAGCAAACAAAAGTGTCGAGGGCTCTCTCTTTCTCCCTCGCACACGCACGCTCGCTCGCACACGCGCGCGGCCGCCCTCCCTTTCAAACCGGCACGCTTAAAACCCCGCCCCCCCCGCGCACGCCCGGAGAGGCAGGGGTCAGTCACGGGCGATTAACCCTGGGGGGGCGACGAGGTCAAATCCCCCCCCCACCCCTCACCGCGTTGACACCATATGGCTTTAGAGCGGCCGCCACCTTGTGAGGTCCCCTGGTCCCCACCCCCCCGGAGCAACCTTATATGTCATGTCATCGCCGGGCGCACAAACACTCCGTCAAAACACACAATTCAGAGGTCAAAAGGGCAGTTCTCCAATAGACCTTTAGCACAATAGCTGCGGGCGACGACACGGCTTCTCCACCCCCCTACCCACCCCTACGCTATTCCGACATAATTGGGAGCTTTTTAAGGCCGGCGTATAAATGTCACGCGTTTTGTCAGCATGGGCCGATGGCCAGCCCTTTTAAAAAAAAAAGAGAGAAATTGCAACTCAAAGAACGAGTAACTCCTTCCCTCCCACGTGCCAGATCCAACGTCGTCGCTACGGCAGTGACGTCTCAGAGATAGACCGCCGTTTGAAATTCGAATGCGTTTCGTTTCGCGTGCACCGCTTGCCCAGCGTCTGCTTCGGCGCGTGCGTTTGGAAATTGACGCCGAACGCACTTGTCTGCAACGGGAATTCGCTCATCTCGTTTGCGTGGTTGCCCTGTGGATTATTTACACGCTACATGCATTACAAACATTATTATTTATAAAGCCATTAAAATACCGTGTATTTACTGTTAATACTTCAGAACCAATCTTAAAAGCTGGACAGTGTGCAGAAGAATTTAAGGTTCTCATGGAACTCACAGCCACCGTTTATCGAATGCAGCCATAATTACAATCAACATTTCTGAGACTGGATATTTTCTTTGAAGGTAAAAGACGCAGCCAGACAATTGCTCGCTCAAACCATTGTTGACAAAACGACTTCCACTGGTAGGAGCACTTGAGAGCCCCTGCATATGGCATTAGGCCTCCTGTTCCACGCTGCCCATGAGTCTCAGGAAGAGTCGAGAGAACCCACACTTACCCCACCACACTCGCAGCTTGTTGATCGAATAACTGTGGTCTACTCATTTATACTGCAGGGTAAAAACAGAGGCTAAACATTTTTTTTTAAACTACTCTTCGGTGCCAGTTTTTCCCCAAGGATATCTCACCCGGGTGGGGGGGGGGGGGGCGGCGGTGAATAATGCACGGAGCACTATCCGCCGAAACGTAACTCACCCCTCGGCCAACACTCACGAAGCAGTGACAGCCGCTCAACACGTCACAGCACGCAGAGACTTGTCCCGCTCTCTCTCCCGACGGCTGCCGATAAAAACTGACTATTGGCATCGTCGGGGACCACAGTCAATCCACTGCTGGATTAAGGAGCGCCAAAACCGCAGCCACCCTCGTCGCAATCCTGCGATGTGACAATGCGTCTACGGCGCCTGCAGACGAACCGATTTCATCGCTCCGTCTCTTTTGGAGACGTCTCGCGGAATGCGATCCAATCCTCGGTTGCCACTGCCATCGTTATTCTTGCCCCATCGGCCATCCCCGCCACCAGCCCCCCCCCCACCCCCCACCCCCCCCCCTGTCCAGTGACGGCATCCTGCCCAAGCCCACTTTCTCACTCGTTGTATAAACGATATCATGAACTGCACGTGTTCTCTAATCCAAGTGCTCCTCTTTCTGTCTCTGAATGTAATGCCAAGGGGCCACCCCCGACAGCCCTCGTATTGTTTCCTACACGCTCGTTGCTTCCTCCCTTGCGCACGCTGCCTTGGCGGTTACTTTGCGAGTGAAACGGGCAGCAGCAGCAGCGGCGGCGGCGGCGGCGTCGAACTTTCGCACCCCATGCTCAGCCCCGCTTCTCTCTGTTTCATGCCGATAAACTTGCAGCGTGAACTTCACAGCTACCGCCCATTCCCCCCCCCTCCAGCACACTCAAATGTTCCTCTCACCGCGACTGCAGGCGGCTTGTGGTGATGTTGTTGAAGAGGTGGGGGGGGGTGGGTGGTTAAGGAGGGGAAGGGCGGTGTGGCAGCGGGGGTTCAGGGTTGGGTGCCAGAGTTTGGAGGGCTTGGTGTAGTTCGTTACAACACCCATCAAGGTGCGATGACAGCGTTGTGGGTTGAGTGGCGTTGAGACTGAAGCTGTGGTTGGGGGGGGGGTGATAGGGAATGGCGGTGACGGTGCTGGAGAGGAGTGACAGGCCAACTGCAGATGTCGTGAGCCGTCTGGCTTGTTTCCTTCCTCCGTCCCGTGGTGGCTGAGCCCGGAGTTATTGAAGGACCTGCAACAGAAGAAGACAAAAAAAATTAACCCGTAAAAACAAAGTTTTTCACTATAAATCCTTAATATACGTGGCGGCTAGAGTCCTCTCGTCCTCTGGCTTGAGATGGCCGCCACCTATGGGTCAGATGATTGCCTGCCACCATTAAGCAATTGGTAATTAAATATAATTTATTTTTTCCTAAAAAGTGTAAAATTTTGGCAAAATGGATCACGGGAAGTGGGTTAAAAAACGACCGAAAGATTTGCACGGTCGTAAGCGCGCAAGCAAGCAAGCAAGTGAACTTAATATAAAGGATTTAAAAATACACAGGAGCAAAGCAGAGAGATTTTTTTTTGAGTATTGACAATTTCTACATTTCTCTTGAGGGGCTGTTTAGAGCCCCCTCAAATCGAGGCAATTTCCACCAGTCGTGGCACGAGCACGCAGTGCTGCACTTCAACTATTTGACGGATTAACGGTGCGGGGCAGTGGTTAGTTCACTGCAAACGTGAACCAGGCGATTCTGAGTTTGATTCCCGGACACAGCTCATGACGAGCGACAGGTGCCAAGTGATTCTCACGACGTTTCGGCCACAACGCAAGCAGCCGTCCTCAGGTGAAGAAACAGGTCTGTCGAGAAGACAGACCTGAGGACGGCTGCTTGCGTTGTGGCCGAAACGTCGTGAGAATTATTTTATTATGTTTTATTTTTATTATTTTATTACTTTCCTTCTACGTGACTTTACCGAAAGAACCAAGAAGATTAATCCCTGCAGTCACGAAAGCTTTAAATTGAAATTTAGGTGCCAAGTGACCAGCATTGTGAAGTATGGGTCAAAGAAACCACTCCCCTGACAGACCAAACGGTGTGGAGAGGACTTTTATCCAGCAGCTGAATGACAAAACCACTTCAAATTATAACAATTACCGTATTCTCCGGATTGTACGATGCATTTATTTCCTCTGTATTGGAAGCCAAAGTTGGCATCTTATAATCCGGTAGTTGTGTGCATGCATGCAGATATGTAGAACTGGCCACAAGTTACAGGTGCGTATTACTTTCCGGAAACGTCTGCTAATCCAGATAATAAGGTATTATCATGAGCATTCTTACGTCTCTACTTGCCAAACACACTCTCTCATATCTTTTAATACCTAGAAAGTAAAAAAAAATAATAACCGGCGCCGCCTGTGCGTTGCTTATCTATCCCACTGTACAAGGCCCCGCCGGGCGGCTGGCTGGCTGTTGTCAGGGAGAGTTTTGCGTGATGTTTATTGAAACCGCGGGGCCCAGTAAATTGCGCGTAAAGTGCAATTCCCACTCGCCCGTCCGTCCGCCGCTACGGGAGAGAGGACTGGACCCGGCGATGAGGAGGAGGAGCAGCAGCGTAAACAACGTGCGATGGCAAAGTCGCCTCCCCACCCCCCTGCTCTGGCAACGTGCCGCACGAAGAGGGGCAGGAAGCACGGTGGCTCACCGTGAGAGGCTCACAGCGGGCTCTCGTGCTCCGGTTTCCCCAGTTGCGTTCAGGGCTCGGGAGGGGGAAGGCGAGGGGGATGGAACCCATCGGCCGACCGTGTTCGACGAAGAGATTGGAAATAGTTATCGACAAAATATTTTTTGTTGGACGATTACTCGGGCTCCTTGACAAGAACGGATGCCACCCCCCCACCCTGCCCACATCTTGCCTTGTGAAGGCAGGAAACCCCACCCCACCACCTCCCCCCCCTACAGACAGGCCCAGCGTGCTTACTGGGGGTTGGTTGAAGGCGGGGAGGGGATAGATAAGTCGTGCGAGCTTGCGTGGTGGTCACTCAACCGAGCAACGTCCAGGCTCACACCTGCTGCTAAGCTTCTGGAGATTTGATTGGGCGTTTTCCAGGTGATTTGGTCACAGGCATGTTAGATGAGTAATTATAACTAATTATAATATTTACAGATTATATAGCGGCTTTCATTTTTAAAAATCTCACGGCGTTTTAAGACAATGGCAATGGGATTCGGGTGGGCTTTACCTGGTGCTATGAAAAAAGTTTAGTTTTTATTTGTATATATTTTTTAAAAGATTTGTTCACCTTACTTGCAACGTTCTGAACCGCCCCTACTGGACATCTGTAAAAAAAATAACTTTATAGCTCATCGGATTCCTCCAGGATAAATACACAATCTGATTCGAGATAAAATAGAAAATGTCTTCTGAAAACTATCAACCGTAATTAATGGAATTTGCCAAACATCATAAATGCACGTATGACCCTTCCGAAAAGTATCTTGGGACTCAAATGAGACATTCCTGGGTACATCATTGGCATTAGTATGATTATTTTTAAGCATTCATGTAATTATATTAACTCCCTACCCTCACTTCCTCCTGCCAGCGATTGTACAAATTGTCACAATTTAAGGTTAACAATCAGATTGTAAGCACATATTAATTCGTACCATCAATTTTATTTTATATTTTAAAATGTCCACTGCGTTGAATGTTGCGGCGGCCACGAGTGGCTTGCAGGGCATCACGCCAACCCATCACAGCACGCTGACAATTAATCAACGAATCGTTGCACATCTAATGGCCATAGTGGCTCTTCCCCTTGATGGGCACAGAGACACACACGCGCACACAAATACGCATTACATATTCAATTCACTGGGGCCTGGCATACACCAGCTGGGTCCTACTGTATAACGTTGGCAATTGAATTTGAAAAGTAACATTCGCAGGTGTTTGCAGCCCCATGGGGAGAGGGAGGGAGAGAGGGAGGAACGGTGAGGGTTGGGGGGCTAGGAGAGTGGTGGAAATCTCCCGGGCACAGCTGAAGCGACCTGACGATGGTGAGAAGTAGCAGGGGGGGGGGGGGTAAAACCGATTCTGTGGTGGTGGCATCACATCTACTGGGGTTGGCAGCCAGTGATGGTGGTGGCAGAGCATTGTAGGGCTGAGGTTGGGGGGTCGGGGGGGGCGGTCTGGAGAGAAGAGAGTTGAACTGGGTGGGGGGGAGTGGAAGCTGCGAAGGGGGAGGTTTGGGCAGTTGAAGAGGGCGGCATTGGCTGGGGGACAGGGGTGGTGGGTGGTGGTGGGGGTGGTGGGGGGTGCGGTAGTTTGTGTGGCGATGGAGAGAGAGAGACCCGGGGTTAGCAGTGGGCGCATGCACGCACGCACGCCAGGCACGTCGCCTTGTCTGGGAATGCGGCAAAGGGGGCCCATGCCAGCCTAGCTCTCGTTGTGTGCCAGTTGCCAAGCAACCACCGTCTTTTTACATGGGGCGGCCGGGCGGGCCGGGGAGGAGGAGGGTTGTGTTGGGGGTGGGTTGCATTGGCGTGGGATCGATGTAAAAATATAGCCGTCGCCGCAGCCGCCGCCGCCACCGCCACCAACACCGCCGTAGCCGCTGCCACACCGCCCCTCTTCTCTTCTGGGCGGCAGCAGAGGTGTGAGCGAGGATGAAACCCAGTGAGCCGCAGCAAGATTTTTTTGGCAATGCCAAGCCCGGCATTTTCACCCCTGGCTCCTCCACCGCCCCCCCCCCCCCCCAAGCCACCAAACCCAACAATAACTGCCCTGTCGCTCAACTCTTTCTCTCTAAGCGGGTTTCAAATTAACTTTTGTATGTAATTGTGCCAATATTCAATCGTCTGTGAGCGAGCAGCTTTGTACTCGAATTGTAAATATTGTGGATTTGCTCTCCAACACACCGGTGTGCTGTACTAGTAACGAATTGGCACGTTCTGTTTACGTGACAAACATTACTAATTGGCTGTGTCGGGTGGTGGCGGGTTTAACGACACATATTTACGCGATCTAACCCAAAACACCTCTCTTATGTATTATATGTCGCGAAAGCCTTCGTGTTAAACTGTGCCAGCCTTGCTTAGCCCCTATAAAGAATGGCACGAAGACCAATTATAACCAAATTATTATTTTAGTCAAGTGATGATTCCTTGAATGTATGGTGCGAAAGAGGTTCAACATGCATACAATAAACGTACACGCTTTACAAAAATCAGAATGTACATACACACACACAAACACTCCGCACATTAAATTCACAACACAGGATTACATAATAGATTTAAACTATAGCCATATACTGCACACACACATGTATGTTGATCTTCTTTCACACCGTACATTCAAATAATCATCACTTACTGGACTAAAAAAATGATTTGCTTACAATTGGCATTAATGAATGAAAAAACTTGTTACAGTATTTAAAAAAACATAGGAGCCGCTCACTAACAGGATAAACATATTTATGGCCGCTATATTTTGTGGAAATTAATGGACTTGGGTCACCGCGAATACATTTTAAACAGGCTACATGTGACCAATTGCATGTAATCACAGTAATAACCAGGACGCTACTGTGAAAACAACTGAAGCAGTGGCCGTTTAAAGATACACAATTCGGTTTCGCAACACAGGGTAATCGCTACTCAACTTATACGAAGACATGAAATAAAAATGAGCCAACTTTTTCTACTCATTATTTTTTGGAGACCCAGTGTCTGTGCAAAGTCTCCCATCTCATTTCATAATAACTTCCAGGGAACAACGTTTACGAGACTACAATTCAGATTTTCAGGTGGCCATTCACGGCCATCCGGATCACGTCTGTCTTCTCGAGCAGCAAAGTTTATTGACGCACCAATTGATCGATTCCTATCGATCCTTTCAGCTTTGCACGATGCACGCCTCGAATCGTGCGACTGAGAATGATCGTCAATCGAAAGCCACCGCATTCACTACGATCCTCGAATCGCAACCAATGAATCGCGGCAATTAATTGAATCACAAGGGAGGAGAATCATGTCGCCTGTAACGCAAAACATATTTTAGACCAGTATGAGCCAAGTCAAGCCAGGCGAGGTTTCGATATACACCAAGTCCTCGCTTAACGCGTGTTCACACGAGAACGCGCGTTTGCTATAAGACGGTTCTTAAAATTCGGCAACACTTTTCGCACAATATCGGAACGCCCCCGTTATAACGCGAAAGCGCCACTGTGCTATG